GCAGGAACTCAATGGCAGGCTCTTTGACCTTCCCACTTGCCAAGGAAGGAGCAGTCCTGCTAGGCCACAGAGGAGGACTTTGCAGCCAGTCCTGAAAATACCTGATAAAACAGGGTCAGATGAAAGGGGAGGAGGTCCTCCCCAATCAGTACACTTGGAAAGGGGCAAGGAGGAGATGAGGGAGGGAGGGAGGGCTTGAGAGGGAATGAGGGAGCCGGATACAGCTGGGATACAGAGTTAATAAAATGTAACTAATAATAAATAAAAAGAAAAAAAATAAAGTTTGTCACTCACATAAGTAGATGAATGTAATTTGTTCACTATAGCTGAGATACAGATTGAGGAGCCCATTGGGCCATGAAAATAAGGATTTTAGTTTTATAAATACTAAGTCTGAGATGATCTTTATCTATTTATGTGGAAAGAGTAAATAAACAATTACGTACAAAATTCTGGAATTTGGAAGAGGTTGTATGAATCTAAAAGCAAAGGCAGGAAGAACAGGAATCCCTGGCCAGCCTCTGCTAAGAAAGGCTATCCTGAGCCACCAACGACCCTTTCTCAAAAATAGATTCATACCCTAGCTAGAAAGCACAGCTGCCCTTTAGAAGTCTAAATAAATAAAATAGGTCCACAGCATTTAAGCAAGGACCTGATTATGTTTTTATTTTGTTTGTTTGCTATTTTCATTTTTAGCCAAACTCATAGACAATTCTATTTCTCTTATATGTTACACAGCATATTCTAGGCTCCAGTGACAACTTGGTGTTTTTCTATCTGCGCCACCTACACAATAGGATAAATAGTTTTGCCAAAACAAACTTCATACTGATTCTTTTTACTGTGCAGTTCTGACATCTTATAAATGTGAATGATTTTCCTGAAAGAATGCAGAGGTAAAACGAAGAAAGCTATTTCATAAAATACAGCACTAGCCTACTCCCAAGATAGCCTAAAAGGGAACAATATTGTAGAGAGGCAGACCTCACAAGCACTTTGGGGTCTGTTTTCAGAGTATTCTAAAACATGTATCAGTTTTTGTTAAAAATCACCTGATCTATGAAACACACTTGCTAAAGGTTCTAGAATAGCTTTGTAATTCTTGGGGTATAAAAACCTCAAAAATACTGGCTTCTGGGGATAGAAAGATGGCTTAGTGGTTAAGAGTGCTTACTGCTCGTAAAGAGGATCTCGTTTGGTTTCCAGCACTCACAGCAAGTAATTCATAAGCACCTGTAACTCTAACTCCAGGGGATCCAACTGGCCTCCTCAGAAACCCTAACAAACACTACACAATAAAACACAGACATGTAAATAAAAATAAAAATAAAATAAATCTTAAACCCAAACAGAAACTTATCTTTTCTTGAATACTAATACTGTTCCTGACTAGAAATAATTGTTTTTCTATTTAAAAATAGCAGAAAAAAATGCACTTAAGAAAAAGAATAATGTGATTAAATGGGAGTTGAAACAATACGTAAGTAGAACCTGTTCTGAGATGTGCAGTGACCTAGTGGGATATATATCTAGAGACAGCTCCTGGTTTTTGAAACACAACTCCTGTTTGAAACAGGTGACCTACTTAACCTCCTTATTGTACAGCTTTCCTAGCAGAGAAATAATGCTACTACCTATTTAACTGGGTTGCAGTCATACTGACTAAATAAGTTTGTCATTCTAAAAAGTTTCAGCAATACTGAGTAAGTGCAAAATGTTACCAACATTATTTCCCTTGTTTACCTTGTATTTAGAAACACCAAAGTCAATGGAACACTGAGAAAAAAATGACAGTGCCCTCCAACTTGCTCATGCATTGGGCATATAAAAATTTGATGAACATTTTCTTTAAATAGAATATTCAAAAAGTTCACATTTTATAATTCTCTGGTTGTCTTCTCTGATTACCCAGAGCAAGGATTTTGATGTACACCTTTAAGCCCCAATATTCCTATTCTAGTGACTTTAACAAAGAAACCAGCATACATAAATTGAGGTATTTATATGCATAATAAGTATGCCTTTTTTGTTCTTACTCTTGACAAAACTATTTCTGATCTGAAGTAGATTCTTTTTGTTAAAACAACTTAGATGTCACTAGAATACCTCATGGTATAAGAATAGTCATGTGAGGATAAAAGCATATGACATACTGACAATTTTGAAGAATAAAAGGATACAATGCTCATAAAGAAAGCCACAGTAGAAAAACAAATTACCTGACAACAGGCTATCATCTTCACATCATCACTATCAGCTAACAATTACTCTGTGTCTAGATGTATAGCAATATATGTCAAAAATCATTTACACAGCTGAGCCAGACTCTATTATCAATGGTAAATAATGGACTAATAGACTATTGGGCAAACTCTCTTAATAGAATAATCAAGCTATCATGGTTCAAAATGAAGGAACAATGATAAAGATGAACTTCAATTATTAGCTTATTTTAGGGATGACTAGAGGTAAGGTTGGTGAACAGACATGACAATTGTATAATTTGAAAGCAACACACAAAATTTAAAGTAGAAAATTAAGTTCTAGTTTTCAAGCAGCGTGTATGCTGAGTAAAGAAAGGGGCATCACATCTTTTCCCATAAGCAGTGTGACAATAGCCATGTGACTAGGGGAAGAATCAACACATCTGCTTGTTATTCTTCAATTTAGCTCCATCTGCACACTCCTCTGCATGTAAAAATAAGTTGATTATATGCTATTTTTATTCCAAGTGTTTAAAGGGTTAAAAAGACTAAGGCTTCATTTGATTTTGCTACATTTGTTTACTAATAAAAGGAAGAACTTTCTCATAACTGTTTATAGATGGTTCCTGTCAGTAATCCTAGTTTCCTGGAAGGCTGAGTCAGCAAGATTGCAAACCTGAAGATATCCTGAGCACCTAGTTGCCCAGGAGACAAAGAATATCATACTGCTTTTAGGCATGTCTCTTCCATCCCTTCTTATCAAGGACAGTTCCTCAGTTGTTCTTAGTTCTCTATGTCCTTGACAGCCTGTCATAGCCCTTAATGATTATTTTAAAGCAGAATCCTGCTATGTAGTTCAGGGTCACCTTGAACTCACATTGGAAATCCTCCTGTTAAACCTCTCCAGCGCTGGGATCACCTACATGTGTCATCCAACCCTGTGATGACAGTTTTTTGTTTTTTTAGATGCACTGGTCAACTGTATCCTAGATGAAATGATCTCAACTCTCATATTTTGATGTTTTCTCTGTATCAGAATTAAGCTGCTTTGGTGTTACTTTTTTATAATAGTGTTATAAAAGTCATGTGCCCTTCTTGTTTTAAGCTACATTATACTGGTATGTCTTGGTACAGATAGATGAGGGTGACCTTGACCATAGGTGAAGGCAGTATCAGACAGGTTTCCTTCCAATGAAGTTAGTACTGTTTTCTAAGTAATGATCATCTCCAGACAGACTTTATAATACTAGGAAAATATATAGTTTCTCTTCAAATTGAGGTTCTTCTACAGGGTTTTAAAAATAACTAAAATATGTGAAATATTGAGGTTCTTCTACAGGGTTTTAAAAATAACGAAAATATGTGAAATATTGTCATGGACAGGCTGCTTTATGTCAACTTAACACAAGAGCAGGACTTTCAATTGAGAGATAATGTCTCCATGAAACCTTATAGGCCCGTCTTCTGGACATTTTCTTGATTGACTGATGTGGGAGGGCCCAGTCCACTGTGGCCAATCCTGGGAGGTCTTCTGAAGTTATATATGAAAGCAGGGTGGTAAAGCCATAAGCAGCAAGCCAGTAAGCAGTGGTCCTTCATGTTCTCTGCTACAGTTCCTGTTACCAAGTTCCTGCCCTGAGTTTCTGCCCTGACTTCCCTCAACAATGGAGCGTGTCTTGGAAGTTGTAAGCTGAAATAAAACATCTTTCCCAAGTTGCTTTTGATCATGGTATTTTTATCACTTCAGTAGAATCCGTTACTATGACATGCCCATACAGTAGTATTGTCAACTCTAATCAGAGATGCTTCTTTTCTCAATGATGACAGTTGCTGGAGAGAGTCACAGATGGTCAGAGCATTGAGGATAAGTGAAAGTTAAGTATTCAACCATAAATGAGACATCTACATCATCCCCTCCAAGGCTCAGGAAACATCATGGAATAGTGGCAGCAAGAATGTAAGAGCCAGAGAATGGAATAAAGTGCTATGGAACATTAGTTTCTGGAAATCAAATGTCTACTCACACTTGAACTCACAAAAGCTATGAGTACCTAATGAGACCTGCTCAAAATTGGGCCCACTGATAGATATCCTCTCATGAAGTGGGTAAGACATCAAAAGGCTCAGTCCTTCCTGCAGAGCTGCTGGCAGTTGGTGGTTTGTGGAGTGATGGGAGGAAACATTACGTCTAGCGGCAGCCACTGGTGGAGTAAGTAAATTCACAGCCACCCGTGCTCTTATAAGCAACCCCAATGAAACTCATAGGATCACCACTACCAACAACAAAAACAAATCAACCAAAACCAAACAGGAAAGAGAAGGGGAACTCATTGGTAGATTAGCTGGAATGTCAGGAGTAATGGGAGATAAATATAATCAAAGTATATCATATTCAGGTATGAAGAGGTCACAATGAAACCCACTGTAAAATATATAATTCATAAATGCTAATATAAGCATTTAAAGTTATTATTTTTAATTATGTGCATGTGTATGAGTGTTTGTCTGTATGTCAGTATGTATATGAGAATGCTTGTGACTAAAGAGTCTAGAGGTGTTGAATCTTCCTGGAGTTGGAGTTATAGGTGGTTATGAGTCACCTGATTTGGGTGCTGGGGCTCAAACTTGTATTCTCTAGAAGAACAGTATGTGTTCTTAACTGCTGAGCCATCTCTCCAGCCCAATACAAATAATTTGAAAGATCACTTTGTTTTCTCAGTATATTCAGTTAGTATTAATCAACCATGAAGGCAAAAAAAAAAAAAAAAAAAAAGACATAATTGCAATATTACTTACATAACTACTGCTCTTAAAGATATCAGATGGACTAGTGGTAAGGATTTTGTCTCCTTCCAAACCAATTACTCTTTTACAAATATTTGATCTTGGATCACTTGGGCTTTTTGCAATTACAATGTCACCTCTGAAGAAGGAAAAAAAGAAAAAAAGAATGTCAGTATTATAGCAAGCATAACTATATACATAGGACTGCTTTAATAATTTTATAAGGTATCCTAAATAAAGGCACACCCTTTATCCTATCATATATTGACCTGCTATACATTTAACATGTTTAGAAATTATTATAACTGATATATAGTATCAAAACACAGAGTCATAATTCCATATAAAATTACTGCTAACTTCTAATATCTCATGAGAATTATATCCACTGTGTATTATTTATATAACCAATTCTAGAACACTAAAAATGAAATGCTCTATTCCCAAAACTTCAAAAATTAAAGAATAATGTTATATAATTCAAGTCATAATTTACAGTACAGACTTCATTTCAGAGAAAAAAAATTAGACACAACCAAATAAAACACTAAATGTCATGGGACTATAATGGCCCAGGATTAACAAGAAGGGTTGAAGAGAGTTTCTACCAAGGATACCTCATATGAGGATGGCAGGCATTGCTCCCATCTGTCTCCCAGCCTGTCACCAAAAAGCAACTAGCAACCCCAGTAAGAATTTACTACCCTGCCAGTTATCAGGCTTTACTCCTTGTTTGACCTTATAAAGTGTTTTTGTTTTGTTTTGTTTGTCCTAAGACCCTTAGTCCCTAGGTATGCAGATAAATTAAGTATCTTTCAACACCCCTGTTCTGGTCAATTGCACCTACCACACAAACCTTGCTCCAGAGACCCTGCCCATCTTCCCATGAGCATAAATATCCCCTTTCCTCCCTCCCCCAATAAACTGAGCCAGTTCTCTGAAGCTGTTCCCAGGTGTGTGCATTCTTTGCCCATGCACTACCAACCAATGCTCTGCACTGCAACCACACACCCTGTTTTCTTTCAAAATGTTAGTAAAACTGCTCATATGAAAAACTTTGGAAAGACTTGTAGGCTATGAAAATCTATCTAGCATGTCTTTGAAAGAAGAAATCATTTCCATGGATGCTTACGCAGCTTATGTTATTTGATACAACAACATAACCCTTAAAGTCTGTACCTAACTAGCAACACTAAAATAATAATTTAGTCAGGTTGGTTTTACAGAGATCAACATTAAGTGAAACTATTAATATATTTCTACTAGTCTAGCTAGATACACACATATATAAATCAAAATACATACTCTTTGGACTCTTGCCTCCTTTAAAGGGAGTTTTAATAACAGAACCAGTACTTAAAATTTCCTTTCCCAGTACACTTATTGGTGATGTGGTGCTTTGAGGCTCCCAGCATTATCAGCTGCCTGCCTTGGTCCTATAAGTTATTTTGCCATGTTTCATATGAACACAAGATTCATGAATGAACATACTAATGAGACCTCTGAATGGATAGAGTACAAAATGACTTCTTCAAAGAATCTTAATTTCCTGAATGTACTTATTTCTATTACTCACCTGATTGCAAAGAGTATTTTAAATACAACATTGAGCTATTTACTCAGAATGGTAAGCATACTGTTAAGGACATTTAAGGGTTACTATGTCACTGGCATGCAGCAGCAGTTTGCCTTCATGTTATAGTGAGTCATGTTACAGGCTACTCTGGCAAAAGTAAAAAAGCATATGTAGCTAATTAAGTCTGTCATTTAAGTTTTAATTTACAATCACCAAATCCACAAGTATGCTTCTTGAGGTTATTACAGAAAAAAAGATCTGCACAATTTCCTTGGGACTCTATTAGACCACATAGCTTGATTAAAAGAGCTTTGTAAAAAGCATCACAAGTTAGAGAAAGTGCAAAGGAAAGAACAGTTTCATACTATTCTTGATTTTTCAATACTGGGAAATGGGCTACAACAAAGGTAAACAGTGTAAGGAGTGCTTAACCCTTCTTACCACACTAAAGGCCAGTAGTGGGAATCATTTATAGGTCACTGAGATAAAAGCTGGTTCAGACTTTTTGTAATTCTAAAAAAAAAAAAAACCTTTAAAGAGGTACATTTAAGAAAATATAGTAAGTTACTATTTGACATCCTTTCAAAAGGAATTCAAACTCACAGCATCCCTTGAGATAAACAGTAGCACAAGGTTTTGAGCCATTATTAGGAGTACAATTTTGGAAAATTTAGTAAAAAACAGTATTTACCAAATAGTTATTCAACTTAATAATTAATTAATCTGGAGAACCACATGGAATCAAATTTTTCATTCTTAGTCACACACAAGCCACAACCAAAAATCACTGAGTAGTTATCATGTCTCTGTACAAAGAATAAGCAGGACAGTCATTAGTGCTAACTAGAACACTGATGTGGAGAGCAACACAGTCCAGAAGGCTCTTGCTCCTGACTTAAAGCATTTTAGAAACCTATAAAAAGAATTAACCTTTCACATATTTTAATGAGGACTGTTAAACTGTCCTAGACGGTAAGTGAAGAGACACAGTGACCACAGACACTTGAACACATTGACTATTAAAATGTTCTCAAGTAAACAGAAAATATTCAAAATTTTTGTCTACTTACTACTTATAAAAGGATTTTAACATAAAGTTAGAAATTATAGAAAAATACAGTTTATATACCTTTCACTACAGGTATAAGCATAAGAGAACTTTACCTTTGGATGCTATAAAAATGTCGGCTAAGATTTTCTGCAAAGACAATATCTGAACTTTGAATTGTGGGTTCCATTGATGGTCCAGAACACTGAAAAAAAAAAAAAGAAGGAGAAGAAGAAGGAAGAGGAGGAGAAGAGGAGGAGGAGGAGGGGGAGGGGGAGGGGGAGGAGGAGGGGGAAGGAGGAAGAGGAAGAACAGGAAAAAGAGGAAGAGGAAGAAAAAGAAGGAGAAGAAGAAAATCTTGTGAGCTCAAATCTCTTTAACTTTACAGAAATCATTTGGGTGGGCTTAAGAGAAAGAAAATTGCGTAAATGTTCTTCCTGGAAACAGACCACATTATAATTGTTTGACATTACTTTATCAGATATGAACAAAGTACCATCTCTACTTCTAGGTTTTGGCCACCCTATAGAATACTAAAGTCCATGAGGAGCACTGATATCTTGTCTTAGTTTCCCAGCCATGTAAATCTACTTAGCATAGTGTTAATGTTTGATACATATCTGTTGCATGAATGATGGACTTCTCTGGTTTTCTCAAACATCATTTAGTGCCCTAAAGCAACACTACACTGTTCATTCTCTGAGAGCTGACATTCCCTCTCCCAGGAAAACACTTATTACTCAGTATGACCAGGCTTCAACTTACATTCTCTACTGAAAAATCACCAACACCATGAGATACACTCTAAAGACAAATTTATCTGTATGTCTGAAAAGAACAATCTTGATACATGCCTAATTCTGGAGTAACAGTTGCCACTTAGAAATAGAAACAACACAGTCTCCATCTATTTTATCATTTATCATTTAAATACAATCTTTTACTCAAAACAGGCAAAATCATAAACATTTCAGTAAAGTAATAAGTAACAACAAAGTTTACATTTACTACTTCTAGAAGTAACAATGTCATTGTCAAGGGGAGGAGTATTAGCTAAATGCATTTACATCCTTTACTTCAGCTCAAATAAGCATTATTATAATTATCAATCTTTTAGGGTAAAACAACCCAAAAAACCATTGGCAGCCCAGATGTTGTTTCATTTACATAACAAAGATGTGAACATTCTGAGTTTTCAGATTTGTGACGTGATATTGAGATCAAATGTTGGTTCGGGCAAGCCAGTGCTAACATTTTATTACGATCTTATCAGAATAATCATGTGCTTGAATGTCAAACTTGGTAGTTATGAGTAGTTTTAAACATCAGACAAATGTGTGTTGAAATTCTACCTCTTACTAACTGTGGAACATGGAATGGGTTAGCTCTCTGAGTCTGAGAGTTTCCTCTTGAGTAGAATGACTTCCTCAAACAAGTACAACAGACAGTGTAAGGTAAGAAGTTAACAGCATCAACCATAGTCTAGAAAGCACAACAACACTGAAATGATTACTGTTTATAATCAGGTTATCAAGAGGATTATTTGTGTCCTGCTAAATACCGAATATAAAAGTGTGGGCTCAATGGTTCTTACATTTTATTCTGGTGCAGATGCAAACATACTATTTTTGCTTGTTTGCTTTTGATCATTCACAGTACTGTGTTTTTGTATGAGAGAGAGTAAGTTTACGCACATATGTGTGTATACATGAACTTGCCACAGAGTACACATGAAGATCAAAGGACAACTTGTGAGAATCAGTTCTCTTTCTACGACATGGATCCTGAGTATCAGACATGGTGGCAAGCACATTATCAGCTGAGTCATCTCACTGTCCCTGTGGGGTTTTGAGACAAGGTTTGCTTTGTGTTGTGGCTGAGGAGGGATAGGTGAAAGGTACTTGTGACAGAGTCTTATTATACACCCCAGCATGGACTTGAACTCAGTATGTAGCCTAGCCTCACTTTGAACTCAGTCTACTGCCTCAAACTTGCAAACTACATGTATGTGTCCCTACACTCAGTTACAAACATACCCTCTTGCATCCCAATATTTAGAAAGGTTTTGTTTTAATTTTCATAAAATGACTTCAAGGAAATTATAAAAAAAGCTATGTCTCCTTGTATTAAAAAAGCTGAATTTTAAAATGAAATTTCTAAATGTAGCAACTTACCATTACAACACCACCAACGTATTCAAAAACACAATGAGCTATACAGCCATACTGAATGGTATAGCCAGCAAGTCGAACGGCCTTTCCCAGAACACCACGAAGCATAGTTCTGCCACTCTGCCACTACCGGCCTGATGGTAAATTTCAAAAAGTTTCATGATCAGCATTTCTTTTTTTTTTTTTAATCTTTTATTTTTTTTTATTAATTACACTTTATTCATTTTGTATCCCCCCATGAGCCCCTCCCTCCTCCCCTGCCGAATGATCAGCATTTCTTGATTCAAAAAGCGCTCTCCTGTAAAATGTCTCAGTATACACAGAATGTGTATATCTAATATAGTTGACACAAATTGGTTTATTTCATCTGTTACCAATCATTTAAGTGACTGAGTTAATGACCTGGATAAACAGCATCTCAAAAACCAGCCTATAAGCTTATAACTAAAGAAAAGGTCCTACTAAGAAGGAGCACACCAAAACATTTCACTAAATCCTTGAAATCATTAAACAATGTAACTTCAGAAACTTCCAAAAATCACAAAGAGAGCCATTATTAACACTTAAATAAATCCCCCTCCCCATCCTTCACGAGAAAACACACACATTCCGCAGGCATGCATGCACATAAAGTAATCTTAAATTAAAAAACACACAAACAAATAAACAAAAAATATTGTTTCTAGAGCAGGTGTGTCTAAGTGTTGGGGCTGTGCCATGTTTTATCTCCCTGATGTTATGAGCTACTTTGAATCTTAAATGTCCTTACTGTAAAATGGCTCAATGTTAGCAGCACTTATCTCAGAGTAACTGTGAACCTTTTATGTAATAATCACAGAATTTTTGTAACAGAAAAAGTGTTCATTAAGTTTCTTTCTTAAGTGAACTGCCCAGAAAAAGCCACACCCATGGGATAGATTCCACAGAATTGACTGACAAAAAAAGTTTTAACTGGAGAGAGTTGGAATGCTTCACATTCACAGCCAAAATTATCTTTGACTATCTTTAGTTCCTTTTAGAATCATACATTGTCCATCTTTTGTATGTGACCTAGAGTCCTATTGGCTATAAATAAAATCTTTGGTATGTTTTCTTAGAAGACCACTAGTTTCCACCAACTCAAAATCTAAAGATGTCATTAGATAAGAGTTTAAAACATATGGCAGTTTTCCTTTCTTTACTATAACCCACCCACCTGATACACCACTAATGTATTTGGCACGATCTTTGATTTATGACTTTCCTTTGTTCTGTGACTACAAAAAAGTTGCTGCGATTAGCCCAGCCCCAATGGACACACAAAACAACTCCCTCAATCTAAAGCTCAGGGATCACTGTGACAAAAGGCTGGATAGTTTGTAAGAGGCAGAGGATCAGTGAGTCTGCAGTGTGATTGTGTCTCCTAGGAATTCCAGAAGCTATACCCATAATATCTCAAAGTGTTTAGGACCACCTAAACACTTGAACAAAGATAGCAATGATGAGAAATAGATATGCCAAAGTGGGGGTGGGGGCACACAGGCACCAACCCTATACAAAGAACTGTAGGCAACTAAAAAATGCTGAGAGTGTGAGAAAGACTTGTGTGAAAAAATATATTAAAAGGAAGGACATGACTGCTCCTAGGTATGGTAGAGGAGAAAGTTTATTGTAGGTAAAAGGGAGAGCATAGCCAGAAACAGAGACATCTGGGAGAGTGCAGAGTGGACATGACCATGAGCCATATGATATGAGCAGGGGGGGCAGGGAGAGAGGACAGAGTGGAACCAGGTGCAGCAGCCAAGAGGACAAAAGGTCAACAAAAAGGTGGGGGTGGTGACTGGTAGATAACCATTTACCAAAATAACTGGATTATATAGGTAAGAGCCTCTGAAGGAAGGGTCCAACCCTGGGCTGTAGAGTTTGGGACAGAGGGTAAGGTATGCCTGTGGTACCCTTTAATAGGTAGGGACTCTGAGGAATGCACAGAGAACCTGTACCTCATCTAGTTGTCTCAGGGTTTGAGACTTAACAAGCAGTAGCAATCATCTAGCACTGAGGTGAGTACCTCCACTGACATAAGTAGATCATCCATAGGGCCTTTTGTGGGTATCAAAACTATTAACACAAAGCAGAGCTCTCATCCATAATGGATGGATAAGACTCAGTAAAGGTTGGCATTTCCTGTTTGCAAGCAATTATAGGAACTTGGGAAGTGAGTTTTTTTCTTTAATTTTAGGGATTATACTATATCATTTCTCCCGTTTTCTCTCATATACCCCTCCTTGCTTGCTTTCAAATTCATGGCCTCTGTTTTCATTAATTGTTGTTGCATGCATATATGTATATGTGTGCATATGTATACATATATATATATATATATATTCTGCTCAGTCTATATAACGTAAAACATACTTGTATGTTACTTGTATGTAAGGTTTCAGTGCTGACCATTTGGTTTTAGATAAGTTATTGGTGGTCATGATGTTTTATCACTGAGATAATAACCTTAACTGAGACAGTCTGTATATACAGGGAAAGTAGGAAAAGTTATTATAGAAAATGTTTATTGTTAAATTCAGGCTACATATATATATATATATATATATATATATATGCTGTACTGTCTTTTCAACTTTCTTTGTAAAATAAAACACTTTATCAGGGTCTTGTTATAGCCGAGGCTAGTGTTGAATTTCTAATCCACTTGCCTCAGCCTTCTAATTGTTGAGATTACTGGCATGTACTACCAAATACAGCTTGAATAATCCTTTTTAGAACAAACTCTTTTGGCAACAAAAAGTGTCATCCAGTCTTAGTTCATTCAACAAATTATACTACTGTTATGTTGCAAGTAAAATAGACTTAAGTTCATTCAGTCCTAGAAATCCAATGGTGAACATGGTGCCTATCTTCCTAAAGCTTATAGTTTACTGGGGCTGATAGCATACACACACAAAAGAAAGAAATAAAAACATAAATATATTAAGTGATTTCCATACCAAAATTATAATAAAGTAATTGAAAAAAAATGTGTCATCTGTTTAGGATGTATCAGGAATGATCTAAGAGAGACACCACTGATATTTTAAAAGAAAACATAAGAAAAGTATGAGCAAATGACAGCATGTACATGTGACAGAATTGAGTGAAAAATGAATCAATGAAAAATGATACTCAAGTGACAGGAAAAGTCAAAGTCTCATGGACTTTTAGATTGATTCCAAGAGTAATAGGAAACCACTGACCTTCTTAAGCAGGAAGAGTAATCAGTTGCTCTGACATACAGTTTTTAAGACTGTTCTCACTGTTGTGTAGAGGAAGGGCTGCAGTAAGGATAAGAGTGGAAATGTGCATGGGGCAGTGGGCAGGCAAAATGCATTGGTATATGTAATACAATGTTGACAATGGAGATGAATCAAAATTGGTAGATTTGAGAAATTCTGGAGGCAAAATAAATGGAAGAGTCTCTGGGAAGTTCCCTGTGTTCAAATTTTCTGGTTCTGTTGCTCTCCTTGTGTGGTTCCCATCCTCTCCAGCTCTTACTATTTCCCACTTCTTACATAAGATTCCATGCACTCTGCCCGACAGTTGGCCATCAGGCTCAGCATCTGCTTTGATAGTCTGTAGGACAGAGGCCCTCTGTGGCAGGTTCGTAGGTTGTTTCCTGTTTTCTTCTTCTTCTGATGTCCAACCTCTTTGCCTTTCAGGATGGGGACTGTGCGTTTTAGTCAGGGTCCTCTCTCTTGCTTAGTTTCTTTAGATGTACAATTTTTAGTAGGTTTATCCTATGTTATATGTCATACTCCAACCAAGGACTATTCATGGAGATAACCTAGAACCCCTGCACAGATGTAGCACATGACAGTTCAGTGTCCAAGGGGGTTCCATAGTAATGAGAGGAGGGACTGCCTCTGACATAATCTGATTGGCCTGCTCTTTGATCACCTCCCTCTGAGGGGGGAGCAGCCTTATCAGGCCACAGAAGATGACAGTGCAGCCACTCCTTATGTGATCTGATAGACTAAGATCAGAAGGAAGGAGAAGAGGACCTCCCCTATCAGTGGACTTGGGGAGGGGCATGTGTGAAGAAGGGGGAGGGAGAGTGGGATTGGGAGGGGGGAGGGAGGGGCTTATGGGGGAGATACAAAGTGAATAAAGTGTAATTAATAATAATAAAAAAATAAATGGAAAGAACAAGAATCATGGGATTCAAACCATATTTCTGTGAGCTAAGTGGAGGCCTAGCTACATGGGTTACACATGTCCACAATTGGGGTTGAGAAATCTAGGTACCATTTAGGCCATGTTAAATTTTATATATTTGTAAAATATCCAAGAGGGCATTTCTCTTTATTATTATTATTTATTATAATTTATTTACTTTGTATCCCAGCTGTAGCTCCCTCCTCGGCATGTCCCTCCCCTAGTCCACTGATAGGGGAGGCTCTCTTTCTCTACTATCTGACCCTAGACTATCAGGTCCCATCAGTACTGTCTGGATCCTATAAGAGAATATTTTAGACTAAAACCTAAAGAAGGTTTTAGAGAAAGAAAGAGTTGGAAATATAATTCCTATTTCAATGAGGATTATATTCTTTAGTAAACAACAGAAAACTAAAATAGTAACCTAAATAAAGGTCTGTTTTCTATCAACATTAGCAGCTACAGCCAGGTTATAGGCAGAAAGAACCAAGAACCAAGAAATAGCAAGACTCAACTATCAACCTAGTTTTTTGTTGGTGTTTTTGTTTGTTGTTTTTGTTGTTTGTTACTTGCATGTAACTGTCAAAAAAAATATTAAAATCAAGAGGTGCTCCAAGATTCTTATTTGTGACATAACTGAACCTTTAAAAATTCATGTGAAATATCACTTCAGAAAAAAAGCCCTTAAAATGTTTAAGAGGGACATAGACTTGACAAGGAGATACTATACATGTTTACTCTGAGGAAGTTCCAGGAATGGGTCATTTCTCAAGCAGTTGTTGGCCAGTGGACTCCCACAGATCCCAAACAGTACAAGTCATCGCCACTGTCCCCGGTTACCCTCCAGAAGTTGACAGTAAGACCTTATTGTTGAAGATGCCACAGACATATATCAGAAAACATAGAAAAATCAAGTGTTTTCTGACCTGGACCATCCTTACTGGCTAGCTTTCATAGTGCTGAAAAGTGCTATGCAAGCTATCAGAAAACAGCAATCATCAATTATACCCAGCTGTGACCCCTGAGTTAGAGTAATGATACAACAGTGTTATAAATGTTACAGGGGTAACTAAACACTTCTTAGTTAGATATAAGGCTACCTTCACAAGCTAGAACCCACACCTGGCACCATTATCAGACCAAGGACCTGTGTCATAGGCCCTAGGGGAGAACCTAGTATTATTATTCCACTAAATGGACATACTATTAAAATGACTCCTAATAACGTATTGTGATATCCATACACTAATATATCCCTCAACTCTCATGAGAGACATTTCGTGCAGAAGATAGTAATTAACACAGAGACACATTGGCGGCCCTAAACAAGAGATACATATCACACCCTTTTCCCAAGGCTCAGCCATCATCATAGCAGATGGGGTGGGAAAATTTTAAGATCTAGAGGTGGTAGATGATTACATGAAACTGTTTTTTGGCATACCAGGAATGAAATACACTTGAGCTCACAGAGATCATAACAGCATGAATGTGACCTAAGCAAGGTCAAACCAGACATAAAACCCAGCACGAAAATGGGAAGTAGACACTAATAACCCAGAGCTGAAGAGCTACAAGTATTTGATAGCTGCTAAAAAGAAACAAAGAGTTGATTTTGTTTAAGGTAGCAATCAAAAGAGTTTTTGTTAATCTCAGGTATTGATAATATATTTTAGACAGCTAGCTTGAGAATCCAAAGTTTTACCATAGTCCCTGGCCTCTAGCTACCAATCTTTCTTTCCAATCTGCGCTAAATCAAAATGTTTCCAAATATTTCTTCATGTCCATGGAGATGCTGAATTACCATGGTTGAGGAAAACTACAGTGGGGGAAAAAGTAAGATAGGATGAATTTATGGGCAAGCAGAGTATTACAAGCTTGGAGCTGTGGTGGTTTGAATGAGAAAGGTTCGTAAGTTATGTATTTGAATACTTGGTCCCCATTTGGTGGAACTGTTTGGGAAGGATTAAGAGATATGGCCTTGTTGGTGAAAGTGTCAATAGGAATGGAGGTGGGAGGTAGGCTTTCAAGTTTCAAAAGCCCATGCCATTTCCAATTGTACTCTTTCTCTCTCTCCCCCACCCCGCTTCCTTCCCTTCTTCTCTCCCTCCCCACCTCTGCTTTATGCTTGTAGATCAAGATATAAGCTCTCACCTACTGCTCCACTGCCATGACTGCCTGCCTACTGCCATGTTCCTTGTTATAATGGTCATGGGATCACCCTATGAAACCATGATCCCAGTTAATGTTTTATTTAATAAGGTGCCATGATTATGAGGTCTTTCACAATAGAAAAGTCCTTAAGAGAAGAGCTTACAATAATACTCCCACAGAGACAAGGGTGTGTGTGTGTGGGGGGGGGGGGCAGAAGACCAGAGCAAGAAAAAGAAAAAGTGATAAGACAGAAAGATTTTAACAAGAAAAGAAGTCAAGCAGAAAGACTTCAGTGCCATCTGTGACAGTAGCTAAGAGAGGCTAAAGTTCTCAGTGAAAACAAAGCAAGTACAAAATCTGGATAAGTTATACAAAATAGTTCTTTAGAAGTATTAGGTGTAAATACAGATGGTCCCGGAGGGAATCTTCCCAGATTATATAAGTGGACAGAGTTGACTAAACTGCAATGTCATGCATTCACTGCTCTCCTCTAAATTGTAGATGTGATGCTATCAGCTACTTCAAGCTCCTGGGTTTTTTTTTACTTTCCTGCCATGACAGACACTACCCCAAACTGTGAACCATAATAAGCCACTTATCCTTAAGTTGCTTTTGTAAGAGTATTTTGTCATGGCAACAGTAAGAGAGAGAAAGACATTAAATAATCCAACGTAAAAATACATTATTTTTGTTGATCAACTTATCAGTTGAAGAACATATTTACTGTGATTTTCCTGTTTATCAACAAGGTTTCCATAAACATTAATGTAGCTATTCTGTGCAGGAAACGTTTTCAGTTTAAATATAGCAATGGAATTCTGATCACATAATAATCTGAACTTTATGCAGGACTCTTAAGCTACTTCTCAAAACAGCTGCAATCTTTAGAATTTTTTTTTACCAGAAATATATAAGTATTTCAGTTTTTCCAAATATTTACCAAAACCTAATAATATCCATGTTTTTATTATTGTCTTCCTAATAAATAAGAAGTGATGACTCACTGTGACATTGATTTTCATTTAGTTAATAAATAATGTTAAGCACATTTTTCCTATCGTCATTGGCCATTTGTCTATCTTTGAAAAAAAAAATGACCATTTAAAACCATTTACGCACTTTTTATAATTAGGATGTCATAATTTTAAATGTAGTTTAAGCATGCTATGAAACACTCTCACAATCCCAACATTTATTAAGCTGAGGCAGGATGATCCTGAGTTGAAAGTCAGGCTATGCTAAATAGTGAGACTTTGCCTCATAAACAAACAAACAAACAAAAACATCAATATAGCTAATATAAGTTTACTAAGAAGATTAAATTCTGCCTAGCAGAAGACAAACTGAACTCGTATGCAGGAAAGAACACAGTAGGGAATATGATGGCTAGTTTTAATTTTCAACTTGGCACTATCCACAGTCACTTGAGATTCTCGATGGGGGATTGTTTAGATTAGTCTGGCCTGTGAACATGTCTGTGGAGGGCTGTATTGATTATAACTGAGGTGGCAAACATGGCATTGGGATGACACCATTCCTTCATCTGTAGAGAAGGGACTCAGATATTGGCAGCTTTTCATTCTTGCAGAAAAGTAAGGTAGCTATTGTCTCACATGATTTTATTTTTTCAATCTAGTCATGAGCTGAGATCAAGAATTCCTGACATAAAGCCAACCAGCAAGCTGAGAGTTACAGATGTTTTTACTAGCCTATGACTGCTGTAACAAATTATCATAAATATAGCAACATAAAATACAAATATATAAACTCATAGCCTGCAGGTCAGAACTCTGCTTTGAACCTACTGGTTAAAATAAAGTTGTTGGTAAGGCTCTATGTCCTTTCCAGATGCTCTAGGTAAAAATCCTTGGTCTTTATTAGCTTCTAAAGTCATCAGCATTCTTTGGTTTAGGGTCCCTTTCCTTTCCCCTTAAAGCTGTGCATTTCTCCATCACTCAATGGTCCCCTCCCCAATCTCCTGCTCCCTTAGAAAGACCCTTAAAACTATATTCATCTCACAGTAATCCTATGATGATCAATGTTCTTATTTTAATCCTATCTTTAAATTTCTTTCACCTAGTACAATAAAGTGTGCCTAGTTTAGGAGCTGGAGATCTTTAAAAGGCCATTATTCTACTTATCTTATCAAGATACTAACACATAAACCCAGAAATTATCCAAGAGTATCTCCTGAAAGCAGAAAGTGGCATCACCTGGCAATCCTTTGAAAAATAAATTCAAATTATTGGGGTAATATATATATGATATATATATATATATTGATAATATATATAGATATATAACTATATAACAAGATATATAAATATATGCTTTGGGAATGTGGCTCAGTGTTCTACATTAACAAGTCCTCCATGTGACTCTAAGGCACAGGAGCATTTGAAAGTCACTTATATATTGTCAAGAAGCTAATGGCCACCTCTAGCCTCATCTATGCACTGCCATGTGCTATGTAACTTACCATGTCCTCTCATGAGAATAGCGGAGAGAAGAAATGTGGGCCTGAGATTCTGAAAGTGAACCTAGGGTGCCGAGCCCTAGGCAAGCACAGCCCCAGGCATTTTGATTTCTTTCACTCATAAGTATGTTCTTACTAATTAGTTGAGGATGGCTGGCCCTGACTCACCTTGTAGCCCATGCAGGCCTCGAATCAGCAAATTTCTTGCTTCTACTTCCAAGTAGCTGAGATTACAAGCTTGTGCCTTCAAGGCTGTGCTTCAAAATTCTAATTCCACCTAGAAAACAAAAGATGACATCTTTTATTCCCTATTATCTCTCTATACATATATGTGTTCTAAAAACTAGTGATATGTAAGAATTTACATCATTAAGATAATGAATCAATTTCTTTAAAGAAGAACATACATACTTTATCAAAATAATTAGTGGGGAAGATAAGAGAAACTAAAAATGTTCATAAATAGTATCCCATAACACAGCAAGATATATACAGAATGATCTTCCTTACAAATATAGCAAAATTCGACAGCCAGCAGAGGTGAGCTGCATGCTGTCTGTCCCCCAATATTGCCTCATAGTAAAGGGCTGGAAAAATGTTTTCCAAGGAAACAGATGTAAGAAACAAGCTGGAGTAGCCATTCTAATATCTAATAAGATAGACTTTCAACCAAACTTAATCAAAAGAGATGAGAAAGGACACTTTATAATCATCAACAGAAAAATCCACCAAGATGACATCTCAATTCTGAACATCTATGTCCCAAATGCAAGGGCACCCACATTTGTAAAAGAAACAATATTAAAACTTAAATCACATATTGAACTCAACACATTAACTCAACTTTTGCCAATGGACAGATCATTGAAACAGAAACTAAACAGAGAAAAAAATGAAACTAACATTATGAATCAAATTGACCTAACAGATATCTATAGAACATTCCATTCAAACACAAAAGAATATAACTTTTTCTCAGCATCACACGGAGCCTTCTCCAAAATTGACCCATATATTTGGTCATAAAACAAGCCTCAAGAGATAAAAAAAAGATTGAAATAATTCCTTGTAATCTTCTAAGACCACCATGGATTAAAGCTGGACTTAAACAACAGAAACAACAGGAAGCCTACAAACCCATGGAAACTGAACAACTCTCTACTCATTGACAACTGGGTCAGGGAGGAAATGAAAAAAATTAAAGACTTTCTAGAATTTAATGAAAACAAGGGCACAACATACCCAAACTTATGGAAAACAATGAAAACTGTGCTAAGGGGAAAGTTTATAGCACTAAGTGCCTTCATAAAGAAAATGGAGAGATCCCATACTAGTAACTTAGCAGCACACTTGAAAGTTCTAGAACAGAAGGAAGCAAACACACCAAAAAGGAGTATAGTAGACAGCAGAAAATAAACTAGGACTCAAACCAATAAGTTAGAAAAAAAGAGAACAATTCAAAAGATCAACAAAACCAAAAGCTGGGTTTTTATGAAAATATGCAAGACAGACAAACCTTTAGCCAAACTAACTAAAAGGCAGAGAGACAGTTTCAAATTAACAAAATAAGAAATAAAAGGGGGATAAAAAATAGATACTGAGGAAATTCAAAGAATCATTAGGTCTTACTTCAAAAGCCTATACTCCAGAAAATTGGAAAATCTAAATGAAATGAACAATTTTCTTGATAGATACTACTTACCAAAGTTAAATCAAGAACAGGTAAACAATTTAAATATACAAGAAAACAGAAACAGTCATTAAACATCTCCAAACCAAACCAAAACAACAACAACAACAACAAAAAACTCCACAGGCCAGATGGTTTTAGTGCAGAATTCTACCAGATGTTCAAAAGGAACTAATACCAACACTCCTTAAATTATTCCACAAAAATAGAAACAGAAAGAAAATTGCCAAACTTATTCTATGAGTCACCCTGATACCTAAACCACACAAAGATTCAACAAAGAAAGAGAATTTTAGAGCAATTTCCCTTATGAACATTGATACAAAAAATACTCAATAAAATAATCACAAATCGAATTCAAGTGCATATCAAAAACATCATCCACCATGATCAAGTAGGCTTCATCCTAGGGATTGGTTCAATATATACAGAGGTTCAATATATAAAAATACATCAATGTAATCCACCATATAAATAAACGAAAAGACATATCCACAAGTAATACAAAATATCTTTTAACTCTAACCAAGCAAGTGAAAGATCTATATGACAAGAACTTCAAGTCTCTAAAGAAAGAAACTGAAGATATCAGAAGATGGAAAGATCTCCCATGCTTATGGATAGTAAAAATGGCTATCCTACTAAAAGCAATCTAGAGATTCAGTGCAATTTTCACCAAAATTCTATCACAATGCTTTACAGACCTAGAAAGAGCAATTCTGAACTTCATATGGAAAAAGTAAAAACCCAGGAAAGCAAAAACAATCCTACAGAATAAAAAATCTTCTTGGGGTTATCACCATCCCTGATTTCAAGCTGTATTACAGAGCAATAGTAATAAAAACTGCATGGTACTGGCATAAAAACAGACAGGCTGACCAATGGAATTAAGTAGAAGACCTAGAAATAAACCCACATACCTACGGACACGATTTCTGGCAAAGAAGGCAAAGCCATACAATAGAAAAAAAAAAAAAAACAAAGCATTTTCAATAAATGGTGTGGTCTAATTGGATGTCTGCACATAGAAGAATGCAAATAGATCCACATTTGTCACCCTGATCAAAACTCAAGTCCAAGTGGATTAAAGACCCCAACATAAAACTGGATACACTAAATCTAACAGAAGAGAAAACAGAGAATAGTCTTGAATGTGTTGGTACAGAAGACAACTTCTTGAACAGAATACCAATAGTTCAGATACTAAGATCAATAATTAATAAATGGGACCTCATAAAACTAAAAAGCTTCTACAAGGTAAAGAATGCTGTCAATAGGACAAAAAGATAGCTTACAGAATTAGAAAATACCTTCGCTAATACTACATCCAACAGAAGGCTAATATCCAAAATTATATATATATATATATAAAGACCTTAACAAATTAAACACCAACAACCAAATAACCCAATTAGAAAATGGGTTGCAGAGCTAAACGGAGGATTCTCAGCAGAGAAATCTCTAATGGCCAAGATTCCATCTTACACTCATCAGAATGGCTAAGATCAAAAACTCAAGTGACAATGAATGCATGCTGGAGAGGATATGAAGAAAGGGGAATTCTCCTCCATTACTGGTGTGATTGCAAACTTGGGATCGCAAAGTGGATTCCAACCATTTTGGAAATCAATCTGATGGCTTCTCAGAAAATTGGGAATATTTCTACCTCAATACCAGCTATACCACTCCTGGGCATATACCCAAAAGATGCCCCACCATACCACAAGGACACTTGCTCGACTATGTTCAAGCATCTTTATTCATAACAACCAGAAACTGGAAACAACCTAGATGTCCCTCAACCAAAGAATGGATACTGAAAATGTGGTACATTTACACAATGGAATACTATTCACCTATTAAAAAGAAGGACATCATGCAATTTTCAGGAAAATGGAACTAGAAAAGATCATGCTGAGTGAAGTAACCCACTCAGAAAGACAAACATGGTGTGTACTCAATTATAAGTAGATATTAGCAGTAAAGTATAGGATAACTATGCTACAATCCACAGACCCAAAGAAGCTAAGTAACAAGGAGGGACCAAGGGAAGATGCTTGAATCTCACTCAGAAGAGGAAATAAAATTGTATCTGAAGTAGATGGAGGGAGGGAACTGGATGGGAGAGGGGTTGGAGAGGGGAATAAGAGTGGGGATCAGGTATGCAGAGAGTGGAGGTGGGTAAAGAGGGTTGGGAGAGAGAACAGAAATTGGTGGGGGCCATCTCTGGTAAGGAGGAGGCTTCCAGGATTCTATGGGGGTAAACTTAAGCTGTCTAGCAGTGGGGGATATGAAATCTGAAGTCAGGTGAGACTTCTAGTGGAGGTATGGGGACATCAACCCACCCACAAAACCTTTGTCCCAAAATTTGCCCTGCCTATAGTAAGTGTAGCGGTAAAGATGGAGCAGAGATTGAAGGAACAGCCAACCAATGAATGAGTTGAGACCCCACCCCATGGAACAGAGTCAACCCTTGACACTATTAATGCTACTGTTATGCTTGCAGACAGGAATGTAGCATAACTGTCCTCTGAGAGGCTTCATCCAGCAGATGATGGAAACAGTTGCAGAGACCCACAGCTAAACAATAGGCAGAGCTCAGGGAGTATTGTGGAAGAATGGGAGGAAAGACTGAAGGAGTTGGAGGCCTCAAGAACACCATAAGAAGACCTACAGAATAAACTAACTTGGGCCCACAGGAACTCAGAGATTGAACCGCCAACCAAAGAGCATGCATTGGCTGAACCTAGGCCTCCTACACATATCTAACAGATACATATGCAGCTTGGTCTTCATGTGGGTCCCCTAACAATTAGAGTAGGGGCTGTCCCTGATTCTGTTGCCTGCCTTTGAATCCCTTCCCCATAGCTGGGCTACCTTGCCTGGCCTCAGGGGAAGAGGTTATGCTTAGTCCTACTAGGTTGGTACCCTTCTCTGGGGAGAAGGGGAGGGAAGATGGGGGAAGAGGAATGTAAGGATGGGATTGGGAGGAGAGAAGGGAGGCGCCTGTGATCAGGGTGTAAAGTAATTAAATAAATTAAGTAATGTAAAAAAGAAAACCCAAAACAAAGAACCTAGAATTAAAATTATTTAGATCCCTTCCCCCAAAGAAATTCAACAAAGCTCAAGTAATGTTGGTCAAAAGGAAGCAAGGCTGGTGTCTTTCCATATTATTCTCCATTACTGACAGGAGGATCTGTATCAGAAAGTATGCTGAAGTACACAATTAATCACTTTCTTTTAGTACACATGAAAAAAAAAAAAGTCAGGCACCAGAATAACAATAATTCCTTAAATAGTAATGTTTGCTGTGTTCCAGGCACTGTTGTAATAGCTTTACAGAGGCTAATTCACTCAATATTTAGGTATTTCATTTTACAGATAAAGAAACCAAGGGGCAGAGTTTTGAGAACCTACTCACATAGCTCAGAACATACAGAAGTATTTGGCCCTAAATTCTCCACCTATGTTATACATCTCTCACTTTCAATGAAAGAAATGCTTTGGCAACTATCAAATAGATATATGGGTGTAAAGAGTCATATCGAGAAAAGAGAAGTTGGACTTGACAGTAAAACCAACAATAA